CTGAAGTAGTTTAAGTCTTTGGTTCTTTTAATTGTGATGATTTTGGCTCACATTTAACAAAAACCCACCAATTCACTAACAAGGAAACATTCTGTTGGGGAAATATAGTGAAGTTAGTAATATAATTAGTTACAAAAGATTTCGATTTCAAATAAATGCTGTTCTTTTGAACTTTCTATTCATTAAATAATCCTGAAAAAAAATTAACCACGGTTTCTGTTCATCTTAAAATCAGTTTACACAAAAATATGAATATGCAGCACAGCTATTTTCAACATTGATAATAATAAGAAATGTTTCTTGAGCAGAAAACCAGCATAATAGATGGATTTCTGAAGGATCATGTGACGCTGAAGACTGGAGTAATGATAGTGAAAATTCAACTTTGCATCACAGGAATGAATTACATTTTAAAATATATTCAAATATAAAACAGCTATTTGAAATTGTAATAACATTTCACATTATTACTGTTTTTACTGTATTTTTGATTAAACAAAATATTGAGAAAACGCAGCATTTCAAGATAATCCAACATAATTTGATGGATGAATGAACACTGCAGTTTCTACATTAAAAAATATATATATATATATTTTACACTGTATTACATACATTGTATGTATTTTAAATGTGTTTATTTTACTAATTTATTTCCCTGGAAAATATTGGAAAAAGAGACTATGCATTGTCTCTTGAAAAGGCTGCCAGTAGATTCTGAAAGAGATTTAACTTGCTAAATAATAAATTTTCTTATCACTAGTTAAAACTGCTTTCACGTGTAATTTAGTGACACATAACATACACCTTCCAAATTCACGCTGCACCAGGAAATGAGTTTTATGAAGTGTTAAATGCTTTAGTTTCAGCTATGACTGCAAGTGATAGTCGTGGAGGAGCACGTGTTCGAATCTGATGAGGATCTGCCAAAACCTGCCTGAATATAGATGTGAAATTATGATAGCTGAAGCAAAACCTGCCTGTTAAAAATGTGAAATACTTTAAGAGTGAATCAGACTGACCTTTACAGCCAGAACCTTGAATAAAGATTAGTTTGAGTAGACGGCATACTTTGTGAACAAAAACAAGACTGTGAGTAATGCAATTACAGCCTCGTTTTCATTCACATGAAATGAAATGTGGCATCTTCAGGTTTAAACGGCTCTCACCTGCAGTATGAAGATCGTGCCCATGATCATGGAGTACAAGTCGTATTTGCCCAGCTGTTTGCTCAGAGCTGAACTCATGGCCTTCAGGGCCTCCAGATACTGTTTGAGAACCTTCTTGCCCATGTTACTCAGAACCTCTGACGTGTTTCCATCCAAATAGAGCTTCATCCAGCTTCCGTGAGATTTCTCCGCCACGCGAAACTGCTCGTAACCATCCTCTGTGACAGAGAGAGAGATGGGGGAAAGTACAGGAAGAATTGACTAGACATGAACAATGCCAGAGATGAAACCAGAACACAAGAGAGAGAATGCCGTTAACTTAGTTATCTGCCTTGCCTATGCTAACTGAATTGGAACCTCGTAAGCGACTGATTTACATTTAGTCATTTAGCAGATGCTTTTTATCCAAAGTGACTTACAAAGGACAATAAAAGCAATCAAACCTACAAAAGAGCAACGATATGTAAGTGCTGTGACAAGTCCCGGTTAGTCTAACACAGTATACATATATACATAGCAAGTTTTTTTTTTTTTTTTTTTTTTACAAAAAATGTAATAAAATATAAAAATTAATTCTAAAACCTCTAATAAAAGTCCTTACAATTACAATATTGCTTTAGATATTATTTAGCAAACCTGTCAGCAGCAAAAACAATGAGAAAAAAATACCATTTTAAATTAAATTAAAACAATTAATAGCAAAAAAATATATATATTTAGCAAGCTTTTATTTAGCAAGCCTTTAGTAATCAGTAAAATCAGTAAGAAAAAAAATACCTTTTTTTTTTTTTTTTGCTGAGCTTGCTGCAATGCATTGCGGGGATTGCCTTCTCGCCAAAGAATAAATGCGATGCTGGCCATAAGAAGGCGTTTTAGATGACATATTATTTATCTTCAAAACAGCCATCACATATGATGCCTTAAAATGCTCACTAGGTTTTGAAACAGAGCCACAGTGTTATGAAGACACCATGAGGAAGCTGTTGCATAAGAATCAGGTGTCTGCTGGCTGTGTTTTAAAGCAGACAGACACTGAGGGCCTTCACAGCGGGATCTCAGAGTGAGCTAACAGGCACGTCTGCCTCATACCACCCAGACACTTCACTACAGGACACCTCCGTCTCGCTCTGTGCCTCTCTCTTTCTAAGCGTGTCTCTCCCCACCTCTGAGCTCTGATTCTCCACAGAGCTGATGCTGTGAAGAATGACACGCACACAACGGGAAACAAGCTTGACCCAAGTATGTGACACAAACGGCTTTCTGAAATGTGTCTGAGCGCAACTTAAAACGCATTAGGCATGAACAGCCAGCTTCTACAAGCTTGCAGCTCAACAACTGACACAGACAAACAGGTTGTTGAGCAAGTTAGTTAATGCTAAAGTGTCAACATGTTAAAATCAGCTATTGGAATAACAATGACACAGATTTGAAGGAAACTATTGCCTCCTTGTTTGTTACTGAACACACGTTAAGTATGTAAAACCAACAACGATTTTTTTTTTTTTAACCCATGCAACTTAAATTCATGCAACCTCTGAACAGTTTGTGTAAATATACCTAAATGCCACTTCAGAAGCAGCTTCTGAAAACAATGTTATGGCCACTGCCTTAAAAGTTTGTGTGTAATAAATAAATGTTGAATCAAAATATTTCTTTCTAAACTTACTTTTTTTTTTGCAATGTGTATGCAATGCTTTTCTCATTTAACAAAATAATGACTTTAAATGATCTTTTGCAGGGGAATTTCTCAGCCCAAATTGATGTGCAATTAATGTCCATGAATGCATACAGGCTGCATTGCAATTTGCATACTTGTATAACATACTAAGAGCATGCACTTAAAATGACATCTTTATACAATACGCCTCTTGCAAACTGTTTGGATGAACATAATGAATTACTTTAAATTACTAGACAAATTAACTTAAGGCACTAATGGATGCTAAATAACTAATGGATGCTAAATGAATTACCCTAAAATTCAGTATTAATTGAAACTGCCATGGCAACTGAAAAAGTTGCACATGAACTCTTAATCTGTAGAGCAATGGGGTTGTTCATAATGTTTACTGCATGCAAAAATCAGCCAGATAACCCCATATGAGCACATATGGCAAACTATATACAGTGCCCTGAATTTTTTTGAAGTCATGGCTGGACAATTTCATGATGTTTGTCACTCTGGTGTGCTAAAAATGTAAATATGAATGGGAATATACTAGATATTGTAAATACAAATGGGAATATACTAGATATTTTACTCATAATAATTTCTAGGAGTGCCAATAATTATGGCCAACATGCATTGGAGAAAAATATGTATTTCATAATGTGAGTTTCCCCCCACTTTCATTTTTTTGAATTAAAGATCAAAAGGACAATTTATTTTCACAGCCACCTTTGCTCATATTTACCAAGGGTGCCAATATTAGTGGAGGGCACAGTTTAACTTAACTTATTATGATTTAGTAAATAGTTTAACTATTTCACTTATTATGATTTTGGTTTATATACTATATGTCCTAAGTAGTATGCATGATCAGTGCAACCCAAATATGATTTCTAATCATGCATGCTACTTAGGACAGATGGTATGTAAAGCCACACATTCCTCCAGGCCATGTGAAACCTGTGAATCTTTCATATTTATTTCCCGAGCATCTATATAGCATCTTAATCGGTGTCTGTGTGAACCCCAAAGACAGAAAGGTGATAAACCGAGATGTGATTTGCTTGACGGCGATCATATTAACCCAGAGAAAAAGTGATGAATGGGACTATTACTGAGCGTTAGAAGGTAAAACAGAACATTAGAGGCATTTTCACATTAATCCATTCTCTTATGAATGAATTCACTTCGCTGGAACGTTCATCTATTGTCATAACACAAATAACCGAGGCTGTGATTAATCAATTATATGATTATGCTGAATTAGCTCATGAATCCAAGTCAACTGTTATGACAGTGAAACATAGTGTTATTTCCACAGTATCAACTGAAAGTCATGCATATTAGAGCTGCGAGATATAATAGTGTTACAGCAATGAGAAACCTTGGCCTGTGAGGATGATTCTTCGAAAATGGTCCGTCCTCTCTTAGACACACCGGAGTCTGCTTAATAATGAAAGTTTAATTCACAGCATTGATCACAGAGCAGGAGAGTTAGAGAAAAGCCAAACGGAGCGTCCGCTGGGATGAGCCTCTCCTGCTCGTGGAATAATGGGGATTATTCATGAATATTTACAGCTGGAAATGAGAACGAAAACAAGGAAAGAGAGACATGGATGGATAGATGGGCAGATGCTGAGAGAGATAGACAGACAGACAGACAGACAGACGAACAATAGACAAATTAATAGAATGACAGAATGATAGACAAAATGATCAATGGATAGATGTATGGAGAGATGGAATGACAGACAGAATAACAGATGGTTAGAAAGAATAACAGATAGATAGAAAGAATGCCAGATAGTTAGATGGATAGATAGAACAACAGAATGACAGACAGAAGGACAGACATAACGACAGAGATAGACAGAATGACAGACAGATCGATAGATAGTTCTAATGTTACAACTCTATCTCTCTCACACACACATTTGAGCCTCACCGTTTTGTGTGTGTATCAGAAACAGATCGGACTTGTGCTGACACACACACACAAAACAGACGGGAAATCAGTAGAGCTCTTCAAACAAACGGCAGCACACAGCAGGACCCGTGTGTGCGCATATGTGTGTGTGTGTGTGTGTGCGCACACGCGTGTGTGTGTGTGTGTGTGTGTGTGTGCGCACACGCGTGTGTGTGTGTGTGTGTGTGTGTGCACGTGTGTGTGCGTGTGTGTGTGCATATGTGTGTGTGTGTGTGCATATGTGCGTGTGTGTGTGTGTGTGCATATGTGTGTGTGGACGGCAGGTCAGTGTCTCTGCATCTGGTCAGCACAGGATTCTGCATCATCTTGTCATGATGACGGATGTCTCCTCACACATCAGCCTCTCTGAGATCCTCCTCAGATCGCCTGCGTCACCTTCCATTAAAATGCCTTTCAATAAACCTTTGAACGATTCTGATGGTGGAATTATCACTCATTTGTGTTGAAGTGGATCTGGGCTTTTATTTGCTGAGCTATATTAATAAAGATCTGTGTGTGTGTCTGTGTGTGTGCGTGCGCTCAGGCTGTGCTTAATAATGCAGTTCATAACGCATTCAGGGTGAAAGTGCTGAAAATGGCACAAAAGGAGACACCTCTGGGTGTTTTGGAATGGCACACTATCATATTATCACTATTTTTACAGTATGCAGTATAGTTATATATAAAATAGATATATATGAAAAGTAATTAGTATAAAACACTAACATAACTATTTATTTCCAAGATTTAAAAACAAATGTATGCACTATACAGTATTTACTATATATTGCAGTATGCTAGTATGGAGGTTTAGAGCACTGCCTCTGCTTCATGCACACAAAAGGAAAAGCAGGTCAAGATCTCTAGTGTGACTCAGGGTTCTGCTGCACGTTGCATTTTAATGGGGCGCCGTCATGAGCTTGAGCTCTCAGCGTGTTACCGTGGGAAAAGTGTTATCTGGAGAAAACCTCTGACGTCTCGCTTTCAGGTCAATGTGCTTAGAAACACTCTTAATCTCTCCCCTTAATCACAATAATTAATCTGCAATTTAATTAAGTGCTTCATTAGGCTGCAAAAGCATGATGGAGAAGTTTCTACATTCTAAAGAGAGCAAGGCAGGCATGGGTGAAGTGAGGAAATAGCTGCCTGTATGTCACACAGAGACTGAAGAGATGACCTCTAACAATCTCATATTTTTTAATTTCCTTCAGAAAATGGAAGGACGAAAGTGGGTAGTGGCAATATATTGTCCTCATCAATCAGATCTCAACCTCCACACGCCTCTCGAACCCTCACTTGAGCGCAGATGAAAGACGGGAAATTCAATGCCCAATGCATATTGTATACAAAAAATTAGTTGGCTGAAATCATAGGTTTATTTCAGCAACCTATGCTTTTTCTTAAAAAAAAATTTAAATAAAAAAATTTATTATGCATGAAATAAAAAAGTCATTTGAAAAGTAGACTGCCACATTTACTGCACATACATAAACAGTGTTTACATAAAAGCAAATCGCATTTTCATCCAGTCACATGTTCTCATTCAAACAGCATGGAACAGCTGTGAACAAAGTACTACACTCTGCCGGCTTAGCATTTTCTTCCCGCCATAAAAGCGGATCCTCATCCGGTGGGATGCATCAGCATCTGTGCAGCTGCTCATGGATCGACTTTGCTGTGCATTAATTTGAATGGCAATCTATTATTGTGCTAACAACAATTAGATACATGCAATAAAAACAAAGGACTTTTCTGGTTGCTTTACATGTCAGTCAAGCGGTCTCTTTCTGTCTAAGTGGACAGTTCAAGGCCAGAATAAGCTGTGAATCAGATTTATAACAACAGTCAAAATATCTGGCTACACGAGACATACTCTTCCAGAAACAGCAACACAAGTCTGTGAAAATGTCAGCAGACATCACCATCAAACACTCCAACCCTGAATAAACACACTCACACCTCATAACCCAGCAAAACTCTCAATACTGCAAGAAGTGAGAAGTGAATGAGCCAGAGATGGATATTTGTGGGAGGCCAGGCATCCTGCTGAGAGAAAATGGAACCAAACTGCTAAAGAGGCAGCAGAAGACACACAAACACACATCTAAGTTTGGGCTAAAGGGTATAACTTTTCGACTTCTATGGATTTAAAGCGCTCTAAAGGCCCAGTCAGGCCTGTGTACTCAATCTCGTGCTCTTATGTGGGGTTACTGACAGCGTTTCATGAGCTTGTTACTCAAGCAGCAAAACAGGAAAACAAAACTGGATTGCAAACTAAAGCATAGCGCAGATTGCCTTTTTTTAAAGGGGTCATATGATGCTTTTTT